CTATGTGAAATTAAATGGAAATGCAAAGTATACTCATATCATTGTGCAAAATTTCAACTACCAATTTCCCTATCACCGAATGGGGTGATCACATCTCATACATATGATCTGCTAGTAGTATCGAAAACTTACTCATAAACGAAAAAAAAGTTCTTACTTGTTTGTAATTACTTTAAATAATAGCCGATATTGCGTACTCAGACTTAATCGCGCACAGATGCCGACACACGAAAACACATATAGAGATACACACATAAGTGTACGTACAAAGATTAATAAAAAAGCGAACTAGCCAAATCATTTTATATCCATCTGTATCCATATATCTTCGTTTTCAATCATGAGTATTTATGGCATGTATGATAAAGCTGGATAGTCTTCTAGACCCACTGATAACTTAAAGCTTTAGTAAGAATGAATTGGAGCTTCGATGACGTCCGTAAAGTGGCCTGGCTAACGAAATGTCGGCCTGTTTTCACCCGTTGCCTCGGGGATGGCGTCGATCTAAACGCACCATTAACGTCAAATGGCTGCAGAAAAAACGGGAATCAGTCAGCGTCTTTCGGTGTGATCTTCATCAAGAATTTTATCTAACATTATCTCCTAAAAAGATATCTTTCTTAAGCGTTTGCATCAAGCCAGAGCCCTTCTTCCGCTGTCGTTCGTTGCAGACGAACCGGTTGGAATCGAGTTGGTGTAGATGGAATTGAAGTAGAGGGTTGTTCTCATACAAGAGCTCGGCGATTTTGACGAAAGTAGGAGATGACATGGGAAATCCAGTGAAGAATAGTAAAAGCAGGCTATCTTACCGTAGTGCTCTAAACCTTCGGAAGGAAGAGTGGCATCGCTGCACGCTGCAGGCGGGTATGTTAAGACGCCACAAGAAAGTGCCACACTCTCCAACAGCAAAAGATGTACCTCGTGTTTCTGGCCGAAATGCCTTACCAGCATACGATGGGATTAGTATCATGCGTCCTGTAAACGAGAGGGCTTCTTCGACAAACAGTGGATGAGGCCGATGCCAAGTCATCCCCATACAGGATGCTACTTCAATAGTAGCAGTATGGCGCTATTCGTCTCTTGGGCTAATCAGTCTGTGGTTGTATGCTTGTGTCTAGGTGTGATGGCATGCCGGTGTATAGAGCCCAAACGGACCTTTCGGTGGGCAAAACGCGACAGAATAGTCACACCCGACTAAAGTTAAATGTGAATAAGAATAGGCTGGAAAGCCTGTGTGTGGGTGTGTATGTATGTCTATGTGTGGTGCACGCATGTATGACCCATTTATGTATTTATCCATTTTGTTTATGCTGAGCCAAAAACACTACCATGCTCTTTGTCATATTCTTGAAATGCCTAATCTTGACAGAATCGACGCTTATTTGGCCATTGGTGCAGACGATGGGGCTGGTGGTACTGTTTGGGATACGATAAGTGAGTCTTTGCCGCCCCAATGACGAACGAGGCGTTCAGATTCGCCGTTCAGACTCTCCGTGAGGTAGCAGGTGTCCTCGAAGTCGTTGTCCTGTCAGTCGACCTGTGGTCATGCGAATGACTCTCAGACGTGTGTTGGGCTTGTAGAGGAGCATACAGGTTGGATATATGCCTTTTTGACTCTCGTACCCTGATTAATCTCTCTTTTCTCCTCTCTTCGGCCGCCAATCCATTCATTCAGACCATGTCCATCTGTTGCTGTCACATCTACGAGGCGTGATGACCGATTCGCCCGGTCTAATAGTACAGACCAGTGCTCGGTAGTTAAGTCTACTCGCCCGGCCGCCATCCAAGGAGTGGGAAGGGTTCTAGTTGGCTCGGCACAGGCCGGAAAAGTGTGTTGAATCGTTTCTAAAAATTGGCTTGCAGGTGGGCCGGTAGTGGAAGCCTACCGAGGAAAATGATTAGTGAGGGGTGTTGTGGGTGACTAAGACTGTTGTTACTCAATATATTATGGTGCTGCACTTCTCATATCTTCTGTCTCGCACAGCAAACAATGAAATAATGGCGTTCTTTTCGGACAGGAATGGGAATTACAGTTTAGTCGTGGCCAGTGATACACCATTCTCTGGACTGCGTAGACTATGGATTCTAGGTCGCTTCATCGTATTATCGCCACCTCAATCTGGGCTCGAACCACAGGCTTTTTGGTTCGCCTTCGCGACATTGGTACAGATGGTTAACTCTGCCTTCTAGGTAGGTTAAGCTACTCTCAACTCTCCTCTTTGCTGGGGAGTACGCACTCCACTTGCTTATCAGCAGAAATTTCGAGGAGAGATGACGTCAAGGTCAGCTTAAGCTCCCCTCTGGTACTTGTCTTAACACATTTTTCGTCTTAGGAGCATGTAACCTAGACCACCAGTAGATCTGATACATGAAGTGTATTCACCATATTTAGTTTAGGGCGATAAGAGCAATGGTAGTTGGATTTTCCACAATGCTCTTCCCAAAAGGCATTCTTCTCCAGGAGGACTGGACTGCAAATTCGACCTGGTCTCAGTCTCAGCAACATCCCAAGCGGGACTAGACAGTATATCACTAGGGCGAGAAACAAGTTCGGCTTTAACCCATGCTATATGATTCCGGTAGTTCGTCTACCGTGAAAAGTGTTTGGAGCTGGGCCGTCCTGTCGAAATTGGGATGAAGCATGCAAAAAAGGTAGATCATTAGATGTAAATACTCATCTAATGGCCAAATATTATTTGCTGAAACGTAGATATAAAGACAAAAATGTTGTTGACTCAATTTGGTCACAGTCGTCTTTCGATGTATAGGAGTGGCCTGATCTCGTTTTCGCAATTCGGTATTGTTGTCAGGGTGACTTAGTTGGGTGCACCTTGTCCAAGGTCCCCTGCTACAATAGTTATGATATTTGTTAGCATACCAATTCCACGGTCCAATGCTGCGAATTATCATAGCCAATATAGCAGAGGGCTTCGGACAAGGCATGCCCAACCAGGTCGCCTTGGCAACACGGCCAAATTGCGATCCCATCATAAGACGACAGTGGATTCCAATTGGCCGGCTGTAAATTGCCTACTACTGGAAAGTTCTACGTGATACTGTCTCGGAGGTATTCTCCTTGATTCCAGTCAACAAGTAAAAAGCTTTAGTCTGTCATATGGCGAACATCCTCATCATTCTAACAACCATATTCAGCCTAAGCGAGTGGGGAAAACTCTCCGGTTTATCTCTACATGTTGTATATATACCTTAAATCAATGCATTTTGCCAATGTATACAGCGATTTTGTCAGTTCAAGTTATATTTCGATATATACGTATGTGATGTATGTATATCATTGTTTACATATGTGACATGACTTTCCATTTCGTGAGAAAAGTTGGTTGAAAGGAATTCGTGAAACAGTCCTATTGGAAACCAAAATAGGATTTCCGTGGAGTGAAGACTGTTGTATTGTGCGAAGAAGCCTTCGGCTCACTGTCTGTACTCTGGTAGACCTCATCAGAGCGATAATTGATTCTTTTCAAAATAGCGTAAAAATATACCAAACCAAGACAAAGCGTGTCCGCCTACCACCCTAGTCATTTTCCTTGCGACCTTAAGGAGACGTACCATAATTTGGTTGGCTACCTCAAACGTATTCGACTTACTTGCAAATGAGTGAAGTTAATTCACTAACTGAAAGTGAATTCAGTTGCAGTTGTTTCCCTTTCTCTTACTTTAGTACATTTTGATATATTTCATAAAGTATGTTCAGACGAATGCTTAGCACAGGGTCATTGGGGTCGCAGGACGGTGAGCCGAGGACTTCTTCACACAATCCAACAGTCTTCACTTCGTGGCAATCCTCCTTCGGATTCAGGTGAGACTATTTCACGAATTCCTTCAAACAAACTTCTCCTTCGAAATCGAAAGTCATATCACAATCTCTCACTAAGGAAATCTTCGAAACCCACA